TTTCATCCCATACACTGAAATGCCTCAGTTTCCAAAGAGAAGTCTCAACTGTCAACCATCCAGAACAGCTCAGGGGGAAACTAGCTTGGACTCTGGATCTGGAGGTCTCTCTGTGGACAGTGAATCTGTGCTTGACCTAAGTACCTTGGGTTTTTCTTTCTTTCCAATGAGAAAGAATGAGGTGGACACCTCAGGATCCCAAGGAAATGAGAAGGCATCCCTTTCTCACAGTTCCTCTTTGGGAAGAATATCCTTCACTGATGTGAGATGCCCAGGTCCCAGGGAAAATGGACAGCATGATACAGACAGGGATGAATGCCTGGAAATGACCCCTCTTCAAACACTGATGGAGGGGATTTGTGCCAAACGTCCAGCCAATGAGCACTACTTGCATGGGAAGGCTCATCATTTCACCAAGTATTACCAGAAACCAATAGTTGATCTGCATGTCCAGATCAGTGAGATACCACAGCACAGTGAGGATCCCAGCACCGAGCTGCTCATTTCCTTTCAGACAGTACAGGTGGCAGAAGATGAAGGTATTGCAAGTGACTGTGACAGCAGTAATTTTACAGAAGGGACACCTCCCACAACCACGGTGCTAAGTGATGCATTTGAAACTTCAAATACGGAGGAAAAATATGATCAAAAGTTTAAATTCAAAGGCTACGAGCACACACATTACATGGGAAGGAGCTAGAGTACCCTAGCAGTTCTGTGGTGTGTCTGGAAAATGCTGGAGAGTTCCAGATATCCAGGCAAGGATACCTAAACAAGAACAAGGACAAGGACAAATAACTGATCCTGGTGCTTTTTGTATTTATTCATCTAGACAGAGTTTTTTTCTACTGATGCCTGGCCTATCAAGGCATATGGCTTTAGGGACACAAAAGGTGTATTTTTACTGCTAAGTAACTAATGTACGTTCACCATCCCTCTGTACAAGTACAGCTGTGATAAAGTGTTAAGGCTCTGGTATGAGGCACACTATTCAAACCCAGCCAGGGGTGAGGCATGCAGTGATACCTCATGTGGGTATCACACAGCAAACACGCAGTGCCTTGTGTTCACTTGAGACTTCAGAGCAAGGTAACTTTTACATGTGAGTTATGAAAGGCAAAACCACATCTGAGACAGCAAAAACACAACCTGGACCTGTGTGAAACCATCAGCTGGGTTCTGAAAATGCAGAGTGTTGTGCCTGCATGTTGATTTTGAGCTAGGATGACCTGCTAACATTACATTTGCTTCTCTGTAACTGCAAAACTGCACCCCTGCTTGACTGGAAGTACCTTACAGAGACTTTTAGCAACCTTTGCTTTATGTGGGATGAAGAGATCTCCACCTCAATCTATAGAGATCACCTTCTGTGTTTCAACAGAGTGAACTGAAGACAAAGTGATAAATGTGCAGCATGTTTGTTTATTTATTTATTTTTACACAAATATACTTATTGAAGCTGAAATTCCACCTGCTGTGCAGAATGTCCGAGAGCTGCTTTATGCAGACACAATAGTATTTTGATATATAACTCCATGTGTGCGTGTTTTTATGTTTCCCAGAACTATAAAGGGTGACTGAAGCTCATTCTGAAAAACATTACATTTTAAAACAGGAACCCCCTGTGCTTTGGTTTGAGTGGAATCCTACGAGACTTCCCAGCCAGGTCACTCTGGGTCACTGAAAGACCAGGACTGTGACCATCTCTCTGAGCAAAGAATCAAACCAGAAGTCCACCAGCAAAAGGCACATGAGAGACAAGGCCTCCCTTGACTCGGCAATACTGACCTTTTCAGTGTATTTTTAATGTGTGCTTTTCACATCTCACAAAAGCATACTCTCCCATTTTATTCCAGTAAAAGGACACGCAGAAAAGCAAAGCATTAAAAGAAAGAGGGAGACACAAAACAGCCATTCTCTGCAGAGAGGGTTGTCTCAGATGAGGGAAGGGTGTTGATGGAGGGTATTAAAGCTGACATCTTCAGAGAATCAGGAGAACAGTATTAGAAAAGGGTAGGGGGTGATAGGAGGTGTTGGGAACTGCTTTGAAAGAGGAAAGCAGGATGTACTAATTGAGGTCCTGGATTAAAGTAAAAAGGGGAGGTGGAAGAAAAGATTCATCAGCTAGAATTTTCCCTTTTTTTCCTACCTGTCCTCTGCAAAGTGTCCTTAGGTACATCCTGCTTTGTAATCCCTCCTGTTCATTTAGAAAGATATAGATCATCCAAATATAATCACCACCCATTTTCTTGTGCAATCAAGGAAAAAGCCCCAGGCTTTGAGTTACAGGAAGCTCTGAAGTTATGCAACCTGTACAAAATTATTTTGACATGTCACAGCTCTGCAAACAGGGCCTGGGATCAGTTCTTTGTCTCATCCAGGTTTTCTCAGGATGGAAGTTGGGGGAAAGGCTGCAGGTCAGGTGAGCTGTACTGGTGGAGGCAGCATCCTGCTCCTCCATGATTTCTTTCACCAGGGCTTGAGACCTGCTTTCCACTGCAAAAGGGTCAGGGACAGCCAGAGCACAGTGCTCCCTCTTTCAGAGCAATCAGTCCATATCTTACACCTTACTTAACAGTTGTAGCTGTGTAATGAGAAAAGCAGCTCTCCCCTCTCACTGGAAGAGGTACAACACAGTCAACCAAAAAACCTGGACATTGCTCATCTACTGGCTAAGTGCAAGAGCTGGAATCAAATCTCCTACATCCCTAGATCAGCAGTTACTAGGCTTCATGCAGTCTTCACAGAGTAGGGGTCTGCAGCCTGAGCCCTGCAGCAGCTCAGAGGAGATAACCACCTTGGTCTTTTTGACCTTAATCTTCACAAATCTCTGGCACACATGATTTTTCTCCTCTTTCCCCAGCTGTGCCAAGTTATAAGCAGAGTTCCATGGAAAATCCGTGTTATGAACCTCTCAGTCTGTTTTTGTCCTTAGGAACTACCTTCTGACATAGGCTTACACTCTACACTTTGGAAGTTGAAAGCCAAGTGTTTAATTTTAAACTTGGAACCAGACTTTTGGAGATCTTCAGGTACCTAAAGATTCAGAGCTATTCAAAAGGTAGCATCTCTCTAGAAATAAGGGCAGAAATAAAGTTTTAAGTTATATTCTCAAAACTAAAGTCTCAGGTGGACTACAATTTCCCTCACCTCTGCCCTATCATGGGTCATCAAATGGCAGAAGCATAAGGCAGTGACGTGAGGGAAGGAAACAATGGAAGTACTTTAGCAAGCTATTCAGGAAACACCCTAACAAAGAGTTGTACTTAATTAGATGTAGGCCACACTGGTGGGTAGGTGTGTCATCTTTAATAAACCTGTGAGGCTTCTGCAATTGTCCAAGTGAGATGAGAAAGACAAAATGACAGCTATGCATCAGTGGCATGGTTTGAAGCATACAGCCCTGTTAATATCGAAGCAGGGCAGGGAATAGAAACAACTTCAGGAACAGAAAATCCATAAGATGAAGAGGTAAGCAGAAGGGGTAGTAATTTCTATCACATTTTTGGCCACAAGGATAGATGAAAGTAGTGTAGATAGTGAAAGTAGTGTGCTTTCAGCTTCAGAAGCACACATGGTTTGTATTGTGATTAAACTGGCTGCAGGTGTGATGTTGCTTATGGGACTCACTTGTAATAATAAGAAAAAAATCTAGCATTTAGGAGCTTTAAATAGGCTTTAGACAATATAAGAGCACTGCTTATAAGGAATTTGTCTAATGCACAGTTGTCCTATGTGGTTTATGGCAGACATTTCTATTACAACTTTTCTAGGGCTGAAGCAATCACAATTTGAACAGTTCTCAGTGTTCAAAAAGACAGTCCAGTTGGTTTTGCTTTGGTGGAACCTCAGCTTTATGCAATGGTCCAGTTAGTCCTAGGCAAAACTGAGGACTGAGAACAGGACCTCCTCATTTTGTGAACAGTTATGACCATGGGATAAAGTAAGCCAGAGAAATAAGCCAGGGAGGTTACCCACTTTGTGTCAAGGGAATAGCTCGTGGCTAAGAGAGTTTCCTAAGCATCAAATGCAGGCTGTATGTGTGAAGCTTTCTCTGCTTATGACATCTTGGGTCAAATAAGCAGCATACAGCTGTACCAGTTCTTCAGATGTTATACACATCTGGTGGTTCTAAATCCGCATCTCCCGGAGACAGGCAATTAGTTTTCACTTTTGACCAAAGAAGGAAATGTCTCTCCCTCTCCTGAGAAAAGCCTGAAAATGTAACTTAAGAACACCCTAAAAAACTAAGAACACCCTAAAAAACTAAGAACACTATGGAAAAGGTACTATATCTCTTTTTTTTTTAGATTTCATACAAATTCCCAGTTCTTACCATATGGCATTCATGATACTCAGAACAGAGACTTAAATTGTAAGCAGCCGCAGAAATAAACTGTAGGTCTACAGTGGCCTCTGAGAAAAGCCACGGGACAGCATGTGGTCCTCCTATGGAAAGGCTACTGCCTTTCTACATCAAATGAGAGAACCTCTGCAGCCACCTGCTAGTGCAGAGTTATGACAAACTTAGAAACTCACGCTCTGCCCACTATGCACCAGGGCTACATGTTAGTCATCTGGCTTTCATCCAAGGCCAGTATGAACAGTAGAAAAGCTTAAAAACCAGTGATCTGCCTGACTTCCATTTTAAGAAAGTATTTGAAGGTATTTCTTAAGGAAATACATGTCTTGCTTACAGCAGTTATAAAACCAACTAGGTGCACAGCACTAAGTTTTAATTTCTAGAGTTTTAACAAGTCAAAGTTACCCGACCAGAAAAGCAAGCCCCAAAACTAAGAAACCTCAGTGAGGGCTTTCAGGCAGGAAGCTCTTTATCAGCAAAATGGTATTTGGCGCTCTTTCAAAAGCTGAAGATTTTCTAAGCCTCTGGCTTGTGCACCTTTGTACAGTTAGGTGTGCATACTCAGAAGGGGAGAGGTGCTCCTGTTGTCACTCTTACAGTCTCTCTTACACATGCGCACAGATCTTTAGCTGGTGATCTCAGATCCAAATGCATGCGGGATAGTAGCTCTGCAGTCTGTTACTGAGAAACAAATCCAACCTGGCCTCACAAACAAGAATTTAACTCTTGTGAAAGGTGATTCACCTGCACACAGGATCAACTGCCTGCTCTCTCAGCCCAGCTTGCATAGTTATTCATGAAGCAATTTCTGATTGTCTTGGCCGTATTTTCAGTGGTCGGTAAGTCCTGACTTCTCCTTTCCTGTCACTGATCGTGGTTGTTTCTGTTTGATCCTGTAGCATGGGAGGTAGTTCAATCATGTTTCCTGAAATAAGACCTAGAGAATGAGCTGTTTTCTGAGATTGTTCAAAAGCTCTCTTCTGTGTTGCTCTCTCCTTTTAATATTTTCAAAATACGGTTGGTGTGCTCAGTGCTTTAAGGATTACTAGGAAGAAAAGATTCCTTCACTTCAAAGCGTTTGCCACTGATGTGTTACAACCTAATTCCTACAGAAGTAAAGGATATTCACTGACTTCGGGGGGCTTTGGATCAGTCCCCCTGTGTCTTAAGTGGAGACACAAATGAATACAAGAACAGCCCTGATTTAATACAAACAAATAATGTACCCCTACAAGCCATTTAATCCTAGTCCAGATGTAGCAAACTCACTCCTGGGTGAATCAAGGATAAACTTGCTATGTTTTCAAATGGCAGCTTTTCAGCAAGCAACCTTATCATTCATCTGCTCTTGTGCCTGTGATCTTATACTGAGGGAAGGTGCCTTCAGGAACTTCTAAAACAGAGGGATTTTCACGCTGTGAAATATCCTGGGTTTTCCCTGCCCGCACTTGACTGTGCTTGCGTTAAGCTGCTTTGCATAACTGTGTTTTAGTAAGGATAAATGTGGGAAGATGGAGGTTTCCTACTTCTGATATGATCAGGGTATTAGTGACTCAGTTTTCATGCTGCTCAGACAGGGAAATCCACCCACTGTATACCAACTGCTGCATTTTTGCCTGGCCAGGAAGATTGTGCTGAGTCTTGCATGAGCACAGGCAAGTGCTGAAATGCAGATGAGGTCAGGACAATATTGGTCTAGAATGCAATCCATTTCTGTGTTGCTTTCCTGCCCAAATGCCATACACAACAAGACTGAGAACTGGATCTATGCCTTTCTGCCTATTTCTCCTCCTATACAGCAGGCTAGTTTAAACTGCTGACACTCAGTTCTCCTTCATGGACGAAGCTGGAGGTAAAGCTTGGAGCGAGGATCCAGGAACTGGTGTGGTTTAGTCCCTGCTCTACCATAACTGCTCAATGTGATCTTGTCCAAATCACCCCCATTCTGGTCCTCAGTTTTCCCATCTGTAAAATGGTGCTACTTTTACTTGCTTATCATACCATTTTTTCGGGGGGGGGGGACTCACTGATTTTGAGTGTCCATTTACCAGCACCATAATGGGACTGTTCATTTTCAGCAAGTGCAGGCTGAAGCCCATGCATGTTCACGGTGTTTATCAATACTACAAACCAAGAGTTGAGTAATATATAAATTATCTATCTTTGAGGATGTGTCTATAATTTGAATTTACAGAGCTTATAAATTCTGGAGGTTACTCTGCAAGTTAGAAGGTCTTGTGAATGAGCCTTGAGAAAATTTTGCACTGTGTATTCTCATGACAGGAGAAACCCAAAGGTCTCTATGACACTCTTCTGCAGTGCTTGCTCAGAGCCAGTTTGCTGCAGGTGGATCATGGTGGTATTCTGCTCTACAGAGGCAGCTCAGACCAGGGGCATGTTTGTCAGGGGCAAGTAACATTTCTGTTTATCAAAGCCAGAATCCATGCTCTATGGGGAAGAGGCACAGGGGTCAGAAAGCAGGGAGCTGAGTTGTTTGCCTTCACCCTGGCACACCCAGATCAGAGTCCAGGCATCAGGTCTTTGTGTGTCTCTCTGTACAGGCAGTCTCCATCCAATAAAACATGGAGTATGAAAGGTTAATGGCAGTCACATCTTCAATGATGTGAAACTGATCTCAGCATATTAATTCCTTGAGTATGGGCAGAAGCAGAGACATTTATGGACATGAATCTAGCCTTGGTCTTCCAGCCATTTAACTGCTTTAAAAGAAACCTGATAAGGAACTCAAGGATTCTCTTTCTGACTCTCAAGTTTTTGAGGCCTTTCTGTAAAAATTCTTGACTTACATTTCTTTGGGATGAGTGAGCAATCTGCAAGGCATATACGGTGATGCTTGCACAGTTTGAATTCCTGTTCTGTTCAAACTTCTGCTTTGCAGCCCATCTCTAGCAAACTGAAGTGGCATGCCTGATACTTCTGTTCACTGAAAGGCTGAGCAACATTGGACCCATATTCACCTGAGGGCTGAGCTTGCAGAATATGCATTTTAATACTAGTTTCTTTACTCCCCTAGGCATTGTGACTACAGAGGAGTCATCATGTCTGAAACATGTAGCATTTTCTTCTACAAACTTTGAGAACATCCTGACATGGGAAACTGAAGCAGATATTCCCCCTGGCACTTTATTTGATGTTGAATATAAACAGTATGTGAAGTTTGCTTCTTTTTGGAGTTCTGTTGTTCTTAGGGCCAGTGTTCTCAGTGAGAGAAGAGCCAAGAAAGAAAAGTAGATTTTGCTGTTTCTGCTGCTTGTTTTACTGTTACAGAAATGGTTCTGCTTAGACAAGAACTCAATAAAGGACAGCGCTATTTAAAGTGGTAGATGGTGCTCAGTTAAGCAAATATTTTTACGTTTTGGCTTGCCAGCTTTACTCCATTGCTGAGCTACTCTTAGCCTTCAGCAACTTCAACTCCTGTGTGTACCTTGAAATAAACTGCACTTCCTCAAGGCGATATCCATGCAGAAACCGTCAATGGGAATGGATTAAGGCCTGTAGTCCAGGGGAAGTCTCTCTGCCATTCCTTTCCCCACCACTTGCTAATTGCAATAACGAATTTAAAATCTAGTAAGAGTTGGCAAAACGGCCTGTTTGGATCATTCTGGGAAGGGTTGTATTGCATCTGTTCTACCAAACAAACTAAAAGCTTTTTTTGTCCTAAGGTATGGAGAAGAATTCTGGCTTAACAAGAGCGAGTGCCAGAGTATCACACAGCCTTTCTGCAATCTCACTCGTGAAACAGAAAACTTCTCGGAGCTTTACTATGGCAGGGTGAGAGCCACTGGCCAGAACTACTGCTCCTCCGACTGGGTGCTCTCAGAAAGATTTGAACCCAGAAAAGAGAGTATGTACCGCTGCTGAAATCTATTAAATATTGGCTGATAGGGATTTATTCCATATCTTGCTGATATTTAGGACAGCATTTCCTCTAATTTCAGTATTGCAAGACTCTGTGCTTGATAGGAAGGGAGTGAAGGCCTGAAGAAGGCTTGTTATTGGGCAAAGAGGCAAATGAACAACTGGGCAGGGCCTTCCCTGAGGTCCGACACCAAAGTGGGATTAGAGGAGAAAAGGAAAAGCCAGATGTCCTTGAAAGAAGAACTGCTATTAAGGCTGACGAAAGGCAGAAGGAAACTAGTAAGAGACATGGTGGGCAACCTGAGGACAGCCAGTAATACAGTCACATAAGCTATGAAATGTGAACTCCTGAAAATCAGGATAAGCAGCCAGACCAATGGATGCTTAATGTTCCCAACCCCTAAGTGAGCTCTACTGCAGACATACAACACAGCCTTTTAGGAGCCTTATTGGCTCTATGACTAAAATTTTCCCACTGTATATTTGTCAAGAATAATTCCAGGTGGCATTAGCAGTCAATGATTATCAAGAGCCTTCAGATCTCTGCACAAAATAAGCTATGAAAGAGCCATAGGTTGCTTTGACCATTAAACATTCACTTTTCATTGCAGCATAGGCATTAGCACCCACAGTGAGGTGATCCCATCCCCCAGAGCCATTCTTTTCAGTTTGATGTTTTCAAGCTACATGGCCTTGGAGGAATACTGAATGCTGCTTTTAAATATGGTGTTACAGATTGGGTTAAACCTCTGTTTAAATGTTCAGTGTAGCACATGCCTTTCACTGAAGATAAATGTAGATACAAAAGAGCTGAACTACTCAACACAAAATCTGATGTAGGATGGGAATAGGAATTTAGATAGCAGTGCCCTGTGGTGGGATTTCACACTCATCACACACGCATGAAGGAGGATGTCCCTTTGCAGGACATGGAACCAACATGGAAGCAGTGAGAACATGGTTCTAAGGAAAAGCTTGGGGCAAGAATTTCTAGGGACAAACACTGGCTAAAGGTGGCAGGACCCCAAGGGAAGCCAGTATCTCCAGTTGCCTGATTTTTCCTATGCTCAGTGAAATACAGCTCAAATACCTTTTTGTATATAAACAGAAGAAATAATTTACAGTGAGCCTAGGTTGTGTGTATAAGATGTATATAAGATGATCCGATAATGTATCAGCTTTAATCTTAACAGCTGACACTGCCTGTTCTATCTTTTCTAGCTATTATTGGAGCACCAGAAGTGGAGTATATTCCTTATGTAAGGTCCATAAAGTTTCTTATACGGCCTCCCTATACTCCACTGAGAGGTGAGGATGACCGCGAGCTAACCGTAGAGGACATTTATAGCAAATTCGGTGCTGTTGATTATCACTTAACAATATTCAACCAACGGACACACCAAAAGGTAAAGCACAACCTCAGGCCACAAGCGCACTGACTTTTGTGAATCACATTTTGCATACGGTGGAGAAGGACCTTGGAGCTTATACATGATGGATGAGATTTCTGATGTACAAGGGAAAGTCTCAGACCCTTTGACTCTCAGTAGACATGAGGAACTTTACGCATTCCTCTAAAATGCTGGAAAAGAAACTGGAGTTTCCAAGGGTACTGTATAAGTAGCAAAAAGTAAAACCACTGGTGACTAAAAAGAGAACGACTTAATTAGTTCAAATCTTAAGGAACTGAAATGCAAAAATTAAATACAGTAACAGTAAAAAGCAAATTATATATTTAGAATTCCATATATACAGAATTATTATAGTCCTATAACACCTTATTGGTAAATAAAATTTTATGCTGAATTTTGCAATCTGGTTTGAAGAAAATGTATGCATTTTATCTTTCTAAAATATGGAATTTGCCTTTATTTTAAATAGTGGACAAAGAGTGAGCACAACAAAGAATTTGAAGTTTCCAACTTGGACCCAGACACTGAATATAACGGAACAGTATATATATCTCTCCTCCAGAGAAGCAGCAAATCTCAAGTATTTTGGGTTAAAACACTAGCAGGTGAGGCTGTTAACTCTGCTAATTTAAAAGTCCAGCTAGGATATTGGATATACACAAAAGAGACCAATTTTCAGCTGGTATAAAATAACATAGCCTTGCTAAAGATATTGAAGCAACACTGACTTTCCTAATTTAAAAATCTAGTCCTATGGGACTAGACCTATAACATCATTTAGCTAATCTCATGCAGTTTTTCTAATCCAACTCTCTGAAGCTACATTTTCCACTTGTTCTCTTCCCTACTAACCAGACAGCACATGGCTTCTCTACTGTTTTGTGGCACTTGCATTCTGTGCCGGACTGGCGTTTGCTACAATTAGTTATGTGATCTACAAATATGTCACACAACGCAGTGCACAGCCTATGTCTTTGGTAAGTGTTCTTTAGCCATTGCAGCAAACCTTTAAAATGCTCAGGACTATGTACATGCACTTAAATAGTATTGCTAATTGGGGAGGATGAATGAGTAGACAAGAGCATTGTTTAGGCAATCACTGCAGACTCCTGGTAGTTAAAAGACGGGGTGCTCCGAACTTCCCCCAATCTGGGCCCCTTTAAAGGAGGTATCAGATTAGGCAGCTAAAATCTGAGGCATCCTATATCACTAGTTCCTCTTGAAACCCTGGGCCTTCTTACCTATCCTTCATCTCCCATAGCAAGCATTGCTTCTGCATGCTAAATGAGTTTAAGGGCATCTATTTCCATGCTCCAGGACTTAGGCCAAATTCTGCAAAAATTAAAGCAGGATTTTTTCTTCCTCATATTTTAGGATTGCACAGTTGCCCTGATGCATAATGAGAGATGTCTGTATTCCTCTGAAGGGTCACTCCTCAGGAAAAAAAACAGAGTTCTTTTGTCAACAGGGCATATCCCTGGTGGTTATTGCTGGCTTTTACTGATATTTCTCCAAAGAAAATTTTAAAGAATCTAAAGCAAACCTTCCAAGCCACAGCTTCTTGTTAGTAACTCATGTTTGTCTATCTACTTCAACAGGACGTCAGAGGGATTTCATCATTCCAGCCTCTTACACTGACAGTGGAGCATATTATAAAGCCCATTAATTTATCCAAACCTTCACTCCTCATCCCTGAAGTGCAATTACCACAGAACAGCCAACATTTGGACAGAGCACTGGAGCGACCATGGTCTTTCTGTCCACCAGAAACTGCCTATCAGCAACAGGCAGATGTACCAACATTCCGGCTGCCCACTCAGCCACCCTGCTTGGCAAGCGCAGCTCCTACTGGTTACACTCCTCACATAGCTAAGCAAAGCATTCCTACTGCCACATCCAGCAAAATTCTGCCCCTGATCTATGGGGTGTGTGTTGAAGGCACAGACCATGTTGACAAGAAGAATTTGCAGCCAAACCAAATGCTAAAGGAAGTTTCTCCAGATAGTTTTGTTGGTGAAAAGCTCATAACCCAGATGCTGGGCAAGAGCTGCGGCCATTCTAATTACAAAGAACAGAGGCCAAACTTGGCATTGTGGAACAGCAGTGACACAAGAGAGTCAGTTCTCTTACAGGAGAGCCCGGGGCAAACACAGCAACTGCTGTTGCAGATTGACAGGATGGAAACTAAAGTGCATGTATCCCAGCTGTCACTGTCTTTGCTGGAACAAAAAGGATGCTATAGACAACAGACAGCAGAACTGCCACTGTTAGTGTCTCCAGTGAAAGTTGACACAGACTGTGTTCCAGAGGATGAATCTCTGTCGTCTCTATCAGCAACTCTCCTTTTCTCAGTCAGTACTGGTAACAACTTCCCTGGAGAGAACAACACAGAGCAGTGGATGTTGCCAGATTCATTCTCACATTCTGCAAATAAATTGCAGTTCCCAGAGCCTCAAGAAACAGAGATGTTAACAGCGACAAAGGAGCTAAGCTGCACAAAACTGAATAATGTTGTGTCCCAAGACACTATCTTAGACCAGGACAATGGCACTCCTCTCACTATGCTGTTCAAAGATTTGGACTTAAAAGTACTATGGGATGAGGATGAAAACATGGGATTTTATTAGGATGATTTAATGATACTAAAATCCAGATTATGTTTGCTTGCATGAAATAGTAGCCTACCCTGCAATCAGTGCAATGCAAATAAACATAGCTAATCTTGGATGTATTAACATGGCACAGAGCTGTCAGACTGTTTCCACTATTGTTCTATTGTGGGGAAAGGTACCTTTACTGATATAATTACTTTTTGCTACACTGCAATACTGTATCTTTGCACTTAAATAATAGGCCTTTATTTCTTGCATATTCTTCAAGTTTATTATGAATTGGACTACTTCAAAAGCTGAGTTAAGACTCAAGTTCAAATTGCAGATTCAGTTTACTGCAAATTTAGCAAAATTCACAACAGAAACTGCATTTGCTCTTTACCAACACCAAAGATCCAGGTCCAAGGTACATCCGCCCTTGGAAGAAATTCAGTAGCGGATGTATGCAAACCTGAAAGACTTAAAAGTATCATGGTACAGTAAAAGAATTAAATATATATTGGTGTTCTACCCTTGGACATATGATTTGTGCAAAACAATAGGCTACTTCCATGAAATGGACTTTGCCTTTAAAGCAGTCACTGAAACTATGGTGATAGCTCCTGATGCAGCAGTTCTGTGAAACTACATGTCCCCTATCCTGCTGTGCCCTTTAATGCTTATAGAAAGATAAAGCCTTTTTCATCTCTGCAACAGATTAATGCAGTCTTGGCCCAGTTCTGACATATTTCTCAGCTGCTGCTCATTTCTTTCTCTGAAATTGTCACACATTCTCTTCTCCCCTTGAAATCCCCAGGGACGAAGCAGCTAAGATCACATTCCACGTAGGCGGGAATGTGAGGATTTACACTAATCTCAGTTCAACCCTCAATCTCAATATACACTATTCTCAATTCATGCACTCAGTAATCTATGACGGAGACTACAGAGGTGTTGAGCTGCTTCCTTCCAAGCTTCACTGACGCTGTCGATGAGGAATAGAGAGGAGTAAAGGATTGCAGAGCCCTCCTCTGCTTCTGTTACCAGCACACCCACCTCCAGGGCTGGAATGAACCAAAACCAATGTAAAGTGAGAGCCAAATTCCTTTAGCACTGCACCTTTACCAAAAGCAAGCTAAATGGTATTTATTCAGGGGACAGAAGAGGCAATTATTTTTCATTAAGAGGAAAGCATTAGCCTGTTGATTTCCACTGGTGTGGTGAAATAGTGTGAGTGTCTGATGATGTCAGTTTTAGAGGAGAACTGAAACCATTTATAGGAATAACCAAGGCTTTGAACAGTATAGGGAAGTACTCACCTGAATAGCACTGCCAGACAAAGGCTGACCAGAAGCAAAACTCAGCTGTTCTCACCATGAGCGCACTTTGGTGTTTTCTCAGTTCTCTCAGTTCAGGGAAGCTGAGGCTAAAGGCTAAATTCCACTTGCTTTGGTGTGATTTTGCAAATAAACCATAGCCTTATGATGTAAAGAGGTTTGATGATTCAACCCAGGATTAAAGGAATAGTCTTAGAAACTTTACAGGCAAAGGTTCAGCTCCTAACTCCAGCATCAATGAGGCCTAAAGGTCAAAATGCCAGATGTGGTGAAGAGGTGTCATGGCATAGGGTATGAAAGGTATGAATATGTGCGTGGTCTGGGCAGCAACCCAGAAGGACATTTCCATTGTGCTAGCTTTACTTCATACCATTCAGTATCAAAGGTTTTGTGGAATGTCGTTTGAGCTGTTTCATGTACTGAGTCCAAACTATACCATCAAAAACAATACACGCAGAAATGCTGCAGTTATAGGATTCGCAGCAGCCCAGCTGTGTTGTTTCCAAGGAGTGAGAGACCCCAGGCGTAACATTCTGCCCCACTAACTCCCCCCCGGAGAGGCTGCATTTCAAGCCAGTGATGCCAATTACCTTATTCAGAGTAGCCTGTGGGCTGCATATCTTGTGTCAACAACATTCCCAGTGATGCTACTCAGGGAATAATCAAATGCCACAATGTCAACATTTTGGCTCATGTTGTGAAACATAACCCTCAGCACAGGGTCGGTATGGGCAGTACAGTGCGGGCCTTAGGAGACCATATGAAGATGCTGCTAAGAAATACAACATTTCCTATTTTAAAAAGCCTTTTCAAGTCCCTCTGCAGACCCCCTGCCACAGGGTCTGATCATGTCCAGCCCTTAATAAATGTATCATCTTGGTGCCCCAGGAGGAGAGATGGGAACCGAGGCGCAGAAAGCGTGGGACCAGATTTTTAGAATGTATGTAGGTGCCTAAAGATGCAAAGTGGCCCACAGCTGGCATGTCAATCTTTTCTTCAGGCACCTTAAATACCTTAAAAGCTACATTGCCTCTGACTACACTCAAAGGCTGCATATGGCAGGAATGATCTCAAAGGCTTACAACCCAGCTATTGCCCTATCCTATCCTTGTCTGTTCTACCCCTAACAGTAGCAAATGTAATGAACAGGGAACGCAGTCAAGAGAGAGACTCTGTAAGCCATGTCTTAAGGAGGTGACTGACAGCAATATTCTCAACTTCCTGCTCTGATCACAGCTAAGTCAACATTTATCTTTTAAACCCTGATATACTACTAAGCAGGAGGAGATCGATTCTTGTCTCTTGAGTCACCTCTTAAATTTAACAGTAAGATCATCCCTTCTAAAACTATTTCTCTTTGGAAAAGCTTGGAGAGAGATGTTGATGCTATTGAGCTTTATTGTAGCTGTGCAAGTAAAGTGCTCATCCATCCTCCATCAACATGTGCTGACCTTATTGCCTTCCGCTTCATTGCTTTTCATAATCAAATTGATAGCCTTGTTTGTTTCAAAATGCATCACAGCAAACAGATACAATAGGATCTAATTATCTCATTCTCATTCTGTGTAAGGACATTTTCAGATAAACAGCAGGATTTCAACATTGTTTCAAAGGTCTTCCCATGCAAGCCATCTGTATGTAAGTAACATCAGACTGTTCCTCATTTATCTTGACTTTTCCAGATAACAATTTTGATAGCTCTAGATAATAAAAACTAGAAGTGCCTTGCCACAAAGACTGTGCTTATTCCCAGGCAGATGTCACGACGATGACAGGTGAGCATTGCAGTTCCAGTTGTCACAAGGATATCAGCATAGCAGGTGGCAGCTGTAACCCTATAGCGAAGTATTACTCTTTGTCTTCTCAGCTAAATCTGGGAGCTGTCACTTAGCCACTCCCCACACCAGCAGCCCTACTCATAGCTTACCAGGGACCCTTGCACAGGGATGAACATATTGCTGCAGACTGAGGCTCACTTTCTCCCTTGGTATTTGTTTGTTATTTGTTTTGGCATTGAAAGGTGCCCTGCTTGTAGACTATAAAAAATCACTGATGATTTTTTAACAAGTCCTTTGAGAAAAATATTACTCAAGGCACAAATTAAAAGCTCCAAATCCTGGAGACAGAATAAAGCAGAGTTGAGGGGCAGCTCTGAAAGTATTAGGAACTCTGATAAAATACACTTTATATCTTAGCTCTGGCATCACATTGGCCTAATGTTATTGCTGTCAGTGATGGGGAGGTATGATGTAGCAGAACTGAAGCAGCTGGATCACAGTGCCAAGCAGTGGCCTTATACTTGCTGGTTCAGAGGACTTAAAATGTCCATGTATATCTTCTTTCTTCTCAGACTGAGATAATGAGAGCCGTAAGACATGATTTTAAGATATTTTTGTAAGAAAAAGGTGACAAAAGTGGTCAGCATCCATATGAGGAGAGCATAAGACTCTTCTCCTTAAAACATACAACAGGGGGCTGATATGACAAAGATGAATGAAATATTAATATTAAGCAGAACAGACAATAATTACTCATTACTTCTCATAATACCAAATTCAGGAAAGCACTCAAGTGGTCATGCAATTGTTCAAAACCAATGAAAGAAAAGTGTTCCTTCACTTTGACAGCTCAGCTTATAACAAAACATATTCTGTCATGCCTGCCCAGTAGTACCTGTTTATTGCTTTCTTAGGAATGTCTGAAACAGAGCCACTAGATAAAGTTCACATGCAGAAGTCCTTGTAGTTCTAGTGCTGATCCTGCTGGGTTTCATCTTCGTTTTATTTGGATGGTGAAGCAAACACAGGTTCTTGGAAATGGATCCTACTGATACGGGCAGGGTGACTCAAACTGTGCAAAATTTGATGGTGGAATTAATTTCCACAAGGCCTTGTGGAGGCCAGAATGAGAAAGTGTTCAAAAAGGAATTAAGCAATTTAACAGGGATAGGACTATTAGCAACAATAAAGCATTGTGTCCATCTCAGGAGAAGCTATGGGCCACTTTCAAGAGTCAGGACACTGGGCTGAACAGACCTTCAGCTTCATCCAGTATGGCAATTTTATGTTCTTATATATCCTCTTCACAGAATTCTAGTGGCTATGAAAAGCCCACTACTGATATGCTGACTCCTCAGCTAAAAAAATGTAGCTGGAAAACATCTGGCTCACAAACTGGTATTGCAGCCTCAGAGCTTTGCTACTTTCAAACCTTCATTTCTCCTTCTGACACCACAAAAAATATCACCTGCTTCTCACGTTGCTGGGAAGGGTTTATCCCAAATGCTGAAATTGCAAGCCTAACTCAAATAAATGGAAAAAGAGTAGTCTCTCTTCTTTTACCCTACCCCAGACTGTTAGATACCACCATGGGCAGCTGGATATGTAAGCTTACCTGCTATTGTGGCAGCAAGCCTTCATTTGCCTGTAATAAGAAAGTATAATAGTTGCAGCCAAACAAAACATAAGAGCTGCTGCTAGCTCCTGATCTAATTATACACTGACATAATTTGGCTAGAGTTGGCATTCACAAAAGAGATGTCAAAGTAAATGATTTCACACTATTATGCAGCAATGGCAATGTTAACCCAGGGGAAATTCCTGGAGGAGATTAAAATATTCATAAGTCATTTTAGAAGTTTTGTGAGCTTCTATCCTAAATGAGCAGAGTATAATCCAATACTCTGATGTTTGAATTTTG